GTGTACTTAACCGTACAATGACTTCGATCCGTTTACAACTAGTGTGAACTCACATTGTATAGTACTCACACCATATTAATTAATTTATTTCAAATGTTAAACGTGAGGACTTGTTATTGGCTCACTGTTACCTACGCCTATTGTTATTTTTATCCATTTTTATAAGCTGTAAGTCCTCCATGAATTATAAATAAATAAATAAGAAATACGTGGAGTAACAAGTCACCCAGGGTAATAATGGATCAACATAAGCTAGAGGCAACGTAGGCATTGCAGTAGGAAGCGTCGCGAGTGGCAGTGACCTGGCGCGGGCGGCTGGCGCGCGGGGTGGTACACGCGCAGGTCCATGGGCTTGTGCACCGTCTGCACCAGCGCCCGGCAGTCGTACGCGCCGCCCGAGCTGTTGGCGGCCGCCGCCCCGGCCGCCCCGGCCGCCACCGCCCCGGCCGCCCGCGGCCGACGTCGGCACGACTCGATGGAGCGCGTCTCCCAGTCCGACCAGTACACGCGCCCGTCCCACACCGCCAGCGCGAACACGTGGTGCAGTCTCAGCCACGGCATGCGCTCTGGAACGGACGCAGTCGTCAGTACACGGCCCGGCCAGCGCTGCACCAGGCCGGGCAGGGGACCGGGCGCACCTCGCGAGAACAGCACGCGCACGTTGCGGCCGTCCAGGTCGGCGACGGCGATGTAGTCCTGGCGCGCGTCCGCGAAGTACAGCTCCTCGGAGGCGGGGCTCAGCGTGAGCGCGTTGGGCCAGTACAGCCCCGCGCTCAGCAGCACCCGCCGGCCCGAGCCGTCCATGCCGGCGCGGCCGATGTGCGGCGCCGCGCCCCAGTCCGACCAGTACAGCCAGCCGCGCGCCGGCAGCAGCGCCAGGGCGCGCGGCTCGCTCAGCTGGCCGCGCAGTACCACGCGCCGGTGGCGGCCGTCGGTGCGGGACACCTCGATGGTGTCGGTGCCCTTGTCGCACCAGTACAGGTTGCCGGCCACCCAGTCCACAGCCAGCCCGTCGGGGTTCTGCAGCGTGGCGCCGTGCAGTAGCTGGTGCGGCGCGCTCGCGCCCCCGCAGGCGCGGCGGATGGCGGAGCCCAGCCGCGTCACGTCGCTCCAGTACAGGCAGCGCTCCGCCCACTGCATGTCCAGCGCCACCGCGTTGCTGAGCTCGTGCACCAGCAGCTCGCCGGCGGCCGGGCCGGCGCCGGCGCCCAGCGCGGCGCGCCGGATGTAGTACCGGTTCGTGAAGATCAGGCTGCCGCGCACCGCTGCACACAGCACGGCTCGTCACGCGACCCGGCCACGGCCCGGCCGCGCCACGAGCCTCGGTACTCACGCGAGTCGGGCGTGCAGGAGACTCCGTCCTCCATGAGCTTGTACCCGGCGCCGCACGAGCACTCGAAGCTGCCGACAGTGTTCCTGCAGACGTGGTCGCAGGGCTCGTCCTCGGCGCACTCGTCGACGTCCGCGCAGGCGCGCGCGTCGGGCGCCAGCCGCCAGCCGGCGCGGCACCAGCAGGCGCGGCCCACCGCCAGCTCCGTGCAGTTGTGGGCGCACTCGCCGTTCACGAATGAGCACTCGTCCACGTCTGCAACACGCCACGCGTCACGGCCCGCCCACGGCGCGTGCCGCCACGGCCGCGGGCGTCCACTCACTGCAGTGGCTCTCGTCCGTGTAGTCGCCGCAGTCGTCGGCGCCGTCGCACAGCGCGGCGCGCGCCACGCATGCGCCGTTGCCGCACTGCCACTCGCCGCGCGCGCATGCGCCGCGCGCTGTTGCCAGCTCGCCCGCCCCCAGCGACCGCTCGTACGACGCTGCGACCAATTCATAGTTTGTCAAAATTAGTACTTGTGACATTTGTAAAACATACCTACTCCATTCAATATGTTACAGAAAAAAACGTCTAGTTCGACGTGCCATTTACGATCAGAACCATAACAATAATTAATTTGTATATATTCCATTGACAATTTGGTGAATTAAATGTATACTTAGTAATTTTATAGTCTTCACTTCCTTTCTAAATTAAACAACATAGAACAAATATCGACGTCTTTTTTGAATTCTCGGTTCGGTCATTTGATGAATCAATTGATTTATTTATTAGTACATATAAACATTAGAAAAAAAATATACCACTAAAGTTAACTCGCAACAATAAATTAATATCCAGTATGGTTCAGCTGCCTACTGCGACACCTGTATAAGGAAGCTGGTAACATTGGACTGTCGAACATTAGCGCGTGTAAGGAGCACGCACCGCACAGGTCGGGGTCCTCGTCGGAGCCGGCGCCGGCGCCGCCGCCGTCCCGGCAGTGGTCGCGCCCGTCGCACTGCAGCTCGCGCGCCACGCAGCGCCCCGCGCACTCCAGCGCGCCCGCGCCGCACAGCGCGCCGCCCGCACCGCCC